GTGGTAGCGCATGCCTGTAGTTCTGGTTACTTGGAAAGCTGAGGCGGAAGGATCGCCAGAGCCCGGCAGGTCGAGGCTGCGGTGGCCGGAAGCAGCCACTGCACTCCAGTCTGGGCGACAGAGTGAGACTCCAACTCAAAAAAAAAAAAAAAAGAAAAAAAGAAAATGTTCTAAAATTAACTGTGTTTTTTTTAATGCAGAACTGAGGTAAAGCATTTTTTTAAATTGACAATGGTAACAGGTGTACAATTCTGTGAACACACTAAAAATAACTAAATTGTACACTAGAGCAGCATTAGACATTAGATTCTCATAAGGAACGCAGGACCTAGATCCCTCGCATGCGCAGTTTACAATAGGGATGGCACTCCCTTAGGAACCTAATGCCTCCATTTCTGACAGAAAATGGAGCACCACTCACCCACACTCACCTCCTGTTTTGCAGCCCGGTTCCTAATAAGCCATGGAACAGTACCAGTCTGCGGCCCAGGGGTTGGGGACCCCTGCACTAGAGGGTGAATTTATAGTATTTAAATCATACTTTAATGAAGTTGTTACCAAAAAAGACAATTATATAAAACTTCTATAAGAAAACATAAAAGATTTGTGTTCTGGGTTAGGTAGATTTCTTAGAAAACAAAAAGTCATTGTCCATAAATTTAAAACTTCTGTTCTTTGAAAGATACTGTTAAAAATAATTAAGAGACAGCCGGGCTTGGTGGCTCAGCCTGTAATCCCGCGCCTTTGGGAGGCTGAGGTGAGTGGATTGCCTGAGCCCGCGGGTTCGAGACCCGCCTGGGCAGCGAGACCTCATCTCTACAATAAATCAAAAAATCAACTGGGCATGGTAGCGCATGCCTGTAATTCCGGCTACTCGGAAGGCTGAGGCGGAAGGATCGCCGGAGCCCAGCAGGTCGAGGCTGCAGTGGCCGGGAGCGGCCACTGCACTCCAGTCTGGGCAACAGTGAGACTCCATCTCAAAAAAAAAAAATTAAGAGGCAAGTCACCAACTGGGAGAAATATTTACAAAACATCTATCTGATTAAATGCATTTTCAAGCAATTGGAAATATATCTGTATCTATATCTATATCTGTATCTGATAAAGGACTTACAGCAGGAATACATAAAGAATGCTTACAACAAAGTAAGACAACTCAATTTTTTTTTTTTTTGAGTCAGAGTCTCACTCCGTTGCCCAGGCTGGAGTGCAGTGGCATGCTCTCGGCCACCACAGCCTTGACCTCCTGGGCTCAGGAGATCCTTCTGCCTCAGCCTTCCAAGTAGCTGGACTCACTGGTGTACGCCACCACACTCAGCTAATTTTTTTGTTTTATTGTAGAGTCGAAGTCTCGCCAAGTTGCCCAGGCTGATCTCAAACACCTCGACTCAGGCAATCCTCTCCTCTCTGCCTGCCAAAGTGCTGTGATTACAGGCGTGAGCCACTTAACCCGGCTCAGACAATCCAATTTTTTTAATGGGCAGAATAGTTGAACAGATTCTTCACCAATGAAGATATATGAATGGCCATTAAGCATGCAACAATCAGGTCAGCATCATGAGTCATTAGGCAAATACAAATTAAAATCAGAGTGAGATATCATTATGCCCACAAGAATGGCTACAGTAAAAAGACTAGAGAGGCCGGGTGTGATGGCCCACACCTGTAATCCCATCATCTTGGGAAGCAGAGGCCAGAAGACTGCCAGAGCCCAGGGATTTGAGACTAGCCTGGGCAACTTGGCGAGACCTCATCTCTAATAAATAAAAAAGTTAGCCAGGCGTGCTGGTGTGCACCTGTAGTTCCAGCTACTTGGAAGGTGCTACTTGGAAGGCTGAGGCAGAAGGATCACCTGAGCTCAGAAGGTCAAGGCTGCAGTAGCCCTGAGTGTGCCACTGCACTCCAGCCTGGGCAACATTGTGAGACTCTAACTCAAATAAACAAACAAACAAACAGATAAATAAATAAATAAAAATGAATGCCAGCCAGGCTCGGTGGCTCAGCCTGTAATCCCACGCCTTGGGAGGCTGAGGTGAGTGGATTGCCTGAGCCCGCAGGTTCAAGACCCACCTGGGCAACTTGGTGAGTTCTCATCTCTACAATAAACAAAATAATTAGCCAGGTGTGGTAGCGCGCACCTGTAGTTCCAGCTACTTGGAAGGCTGAGGCGGAAGGATCACTGGAGCCCAGCAGGTCGAGGCTGCGGTGGCCAGGAGCGGCCACTGCACTCCAGTCTGGGAGACAGAGTGAGACTCCAACTCAAAAAAAATAATAAAAAATAAAAAAATAAATTAATGCCAAGTGCTCAAGAGGTTATGGAACCACTGAAACTCTTTACTGCAGATGAGAATGCAAAAACAGTACAGACACTTTGGAAAAGTCTGGCAGTTTTTTATAAGGTTAAACTTACACTTACCACAATACCCTACTATAATTCCACTCAAGAGAAATGAAAACCTATGTCTATGTCTATATAAAGACCGGTACAATACTATTATTTCACAACAGCTTTAGTCATAATCGCCCCAAACTGGAAGCAACTTAAATGTGTATCAATAATGAAAGGATAAACAAATTGTAGTAAATCCATACAATGGACTACCACTCAGCAGTTAAAAAAAGAACAAATATGGCTGGATAAGATGGCTCTTGCCTATAATCCCAGCACAAGGTGAGAGGATCGCTTGAGGCCAGAGGTTCAAGATCAGCTTGCGTAACATAGCAAGATCCCGTCTCCACTTAAAAAAAGAATAAAACAAACATTTGGCAAAGTAACAATGTATACCAATTTTTAAAGGACTATACTAACTGAACAAAGCCAGATAAAACAGAGTACATACTACATGATTCCATTTATTTGACACTCCAGAAAAGGCAAAATATGGTGACAAAAAGCTGATCAGTAGTTGACAAGAGCAGTGGTAAGGAGAGAAGACTGACATAAAAGGAAATGAGGGAACTTTTTAAGGTATGAAAATGTTCTGTCGCTTCATTATGCATATTTGTCAAAACTCATAAAAATGGACACTTACCGTAGGTGAATGTTAATATAGGTAAACTATGCCCAATAAAGTTGATTTTAAAAGGCAAATTAGTAGTTTCATTCCTTTTCTCAAGTTCCCAAGGTCTTAGGTAATTCCCACAAGGTCTTAATATCCAGTCTGCTCTACTTTTAGGACTTGACCTTGATTTCAACTTTGTACATGTCTTATGATTCAAAGTCAGCACTTTTGAAGCATAAAACTCTAAATTTTGTGTAGTTCTAAGAATACAGAGGCCACATTTGGGCATGGTGGCTCACGCCTGTAATGCCATCACTTTGGGAGACAGAGGTGAGAGAACTGCCTGAACCCAAGGATTTGAGACCAGTCTAGGCAATTTGGCAAAACCTCATCTCTACAATAAATAAATTAGCCAGGTGTGGTGGTGTATGCCTGTGGTTCCAGCTACTTGGAAGGTTGAGGTGGAAGGATCGCCTGAGGCCGAGGCCAGCAGGTCAAGGCTGTGGTGGTCATAAGCGTGCCACTGCACTCCTGCCTGGCAACAGAGTGAGACTCCGACTCAAAAAAAAAAAAAAGAATACAGAGGTCATGCTGACATAAAACCTATGTGCTACCATCTACAGCTAAATTACAAATGCAGTCAAATCGTATTTGATCTCCTGCAACTGTTCTAGCTTCCTTGCTTTTCTTAGCTCCTCACTAAAAGGAATTTAGCATAAATGTTTAGCAGTTCTAGCCGGGCTCAGTGGCTCAGCCTGTAATCCCGTGATTTGGGAGGCTGAGGTGAGTGGACTGCCTGAGCCCGCGGGTTTGAGACCCGCCTGGGCAATTTGGCGAGACCTCATC